AGCTGAAGGGCGGGTTCATCCATCGGCACCCACAGGTGTGGGGCGGAAAGGCGCCGTTACACCCCCTGAGGTAACTACAGCCAGGCTGTCCGGCAGCAGTGGCACCCCAGCAGGAAAGGGGTGCTCGTGAGGGACCGAGTGACCTGCGGGCACCGAGCAGCAGCACCCGGCACAAACAGGGCTCAAGCGAAGCACAAGCAGGAGATAAACTCACCCGTTCCATCAGCAACAGCCCCAGCACCCTGAGCGAGGCTGACACTCATTTCAAACTGCAGTCCTTGACTCCGTTTAGGAGCTGGGCAATGCTACTGTTGCTTATTCAAAACCAAAATATTTACACACAGGTTATGACCTCCAAGGTACTAACTACAGTGTGACCCGAGATGCCAGCACTACGAAAGTGAGAAGAAACAAGCTGCTGTGAGGCCCCAAAACGCTTCTAAATTGAGCACACACAGACACCAGAGCTTTTGTGTTTGGGTGGGTTTAGTCTAACCTAGCGGAAACATCAACATCTGTGTACAAGATCCACACTTACCTGGGATTACTTCTGATGAAATAAATAACATTATTTAAAAGGAAATTACAGAAAGGAAGATGAAAGGCCAAGCAGTTCAGAATACTTTCCTGACGGCAGCACAAGAAGGGCAGCAGAAAATACAAAATACAGGTCAAATCAGTCAAACTGGCAAACCAAAGCTTTATTTTTGTTTAAAGTCTTTGCTACAGTACCTAGGACTGCGCCTCTACATAATTAACAATCATTCCTGAAAGATCTGTATTTGGCACCAGTTTGTGTTTACCTCAAACACTTGTGGGGAGGATTAATTTCAAATCAAATTTGTGTTTTCAACAGAATAGGAGCTGCCATCATGAAGCCAATTAACTAAGTTATTGGGGGAGCTTAAAAACAAACCCAAAAAACCCAAAATCCTTATCTAAACCAATGCATTACAGAGAGCTCCAAAACAGAGGTCAAACATTAAAAGGCTGATATAGGCTCACATGGTTTATAAAACCTATAAAAAAAGACTACACCAGCAAATATGCCCTTTCAGTCCACACAGTTTAGAAATTAATGCAGGGAGCAACACTCGCTAGCTGGAAATGTTGTCATGGGAGAATCACACATATACCAACAGGGGTACCCAAAATCAAATGTTAAAATGCTCCAATTCCCAATCCACATAAAAGGAGAGAGATTCATAGGAAGATGAAATCAATCCATGAAATCGTAATTGTTTGGGCAGTTCGAACTTCCCCCAGCAACCACTACGTCACTCATACGCACAGGCTCACATGTACACGGCTCAATCCCATTCAAATTCCTCATGGAATAAAAAGATCCCAGGCTCTATTGAGTCTTTCCCTATCATGCAAGAAATAAGTTTGGCTGTGCTTTAATCACCATCATGTATTACTTCAGCCACAGAGTACCAGGCAGATTAAGTAGAAATGCACAGTTTTTTAGCTCATTGTCTCTGCAGAAGTGTCTGAGAGGCTCAGTTCCGGAGAGTTCTGGGTGGGCACACAGTCGTCTCTCTTCATGCAGACTCAGTGGCCTCTACTGGCTTAATCATGTGGTCTGGTTTGTTGCCAGCAGCATAGTGATCCCACATCTGAAGATAAAGCCGCTCCAGGTCCACTGTGTACTGTTTTGTGTTGAACAAAGGACTGGATATTCTCTGCTTCCAGACTTTGCCACGGATTTTTTTCAGGCTACAAAAAGAGTTAAAGCAGTCACAAGAGGTTCCAAACACTTCATAGTACTGTTTACTTTTGAAATCTACTATTTTCAGCTAACCCTGAACTGCCAGTACAACTGTTTTAAAAATATCTGCTCCCCCACTTCCACCCAATTCATATTGCTGTTTCATCCCCTCATCATTTCTGATGCAGACCAGCATGATCACTTCAGCTCAGAAGAGCTATGACATTAATGCATTAACTTGCTGCATTATCTGTACTGCAATAACTTTTTACAGCGTGAAACAGCAAACTGCTTAATCTTCAATTTAAGAAGAACAAAAGATGAACTATATTGCAACTTTTTTACCAGGTAAGAGCCTGCACACAAGCAATTTATTCAGAACAGGTAGCATTGTTGCTCAGTTAGGAGTGCTGTTAAGTTTACTGTAAAAGCAGAAGCTGAGTTAACTGCTAGACAAGAAATCTCTAGATGAGAATTGCCCAGCTATTTTAAATATTAAAGTATCTGCAAGATTAAATCTACTGATAGGTCTCAGCACTGTGCCCAAATATAGCCCTTTACATTCTTGATGTTAGCACATTACACTGTACAAGTTTGCTTACTATTCCAGATCAGTTCCCAGTTTCACAGCAATATCCTCATATTCTTGTCTACTTTTTGCAATGAGCTCAAGACAACCCAGGCAAGTAAGCTGGGAGGCAGCAACTCGTGATGCAAGAGTCTCGCCTGTAAGTAAAAAAAAAAAAAAAAAAACAAAAACCAAAAGAAATTTGTAACAGGAGTAAGCTTATCAAGTACCATATTGAAGAGTATTAGTTACTTTCCTTCTACCTCTACAAAAGGCAACAAAGTTTTTTGGGCTTGCTGTTTGTTATTAAAAAATTAATAATATTCAAACCCATCTGTTCTATGTAGGTTCCCCACTGCGTTACCTGGCATAGTGACCATTGGAGTCCCAGCCCAGAGCACATCCATCCCAGTTGTGTGCCCATTGCAGAGTGGAGTGTCTAGACAAACATCAGCCAATTGCCCTCTCCTCACATGTTCTTCTTTTGGGGCAACGGGAGAAAAGATGATTCGGTTTTGGGAAAGACCCAAGTTTTGTGCGTATTGCTGAATATTGGGTTCTCCTACAGCTGGGAAACGTAGCAGCCACAGCACACTGTTTGGAACTCTTTTCAGGATCTGTAACAAAAATTAAGCAGAAAATACAGAAAGTTCTGTCAGAAACATTTCTTATTTCAAACAAGAAATTACCACATACCACAATGAAGCAAAAGGCATAATCATTCAATACTTTAATCTTCTACAGTATAGAGCAGGAAAAAAAAAAAATCACCATTTTGAATGGAATAACTAGGATTGCATTTCTAATCCCAATGAAAGAGAGACAGCAATGCTGAGCAATAGTTCATAGAGCAGTACTTGAGACTAAGCCTTGAAATTTACGATTTATTTATAAGCCCATGCTATGCAATATAAAAAAATCACCCCTCAGTTAACTCTCAGCAATACACTATAAACCAGGCCTTGATACAGACGCTCAGTGCTCAGATCTATCAACCTACCAACTGCCAAGGCCAGTTCTGACTTAATTGTGCAGACTAAGGAAGACCAAACTTCTTTCACAATGGAGTACCAGCATACTTAAGCTGTCCAATACATAATTTTTCACTGTCTAGAAGCACAGATGTGAACTGAAATCAATCTAAAAAATTCTATATTCTATTAACAATAAGTCCTCCAACATGAGCATTGTAAAGATTCAAATGGCTCAGTGTCAATGTTTTCCACGTAACAGTTACAGTTTGTTGTAGATTTACCCTGGCTGAGGCGAGCACATTGTCACCTGGCTGGCAGAAAAAACACAACAGCTCAATCACCCTCTCCCCTTCTGCCTCCTGGGGATGGGGGAGAGAATTAAAGGGTAAAGGGAAAACAGACTTGTGGGTTGAGATAAGAACCATTTAAAAACTAAGCTACAATAATATTGAAAATAATAATAATAATTATGATAATAATAGTAATGCATACAAATTTACAAATCAGTGATGCAGTGAAACTGCTCTCCACCCAATGACCAAGGCTCAGCCTGTTTCCAGCTAACGATCCCCAAAGCAGGGAGAATCCCAAAACCGCAATCCCAGAACAGAGATAAGAGCCTGAGTGTCTGAGAGACTGAGATGACCCTGAGAGACGGGCAACCCAGAGAGAGACAACCTAGAGCAAGAGAGAGAATTTCCGCACAGAGCCTCATCTCTATACTGGGCATAACATGCGTGATATGGAACAGACCATTGGCCAATTTGGCTCTCAATTCTAAACCTAAGGTTGAATCCTAGGCCAGTAACTGGGGCTGTGCTCCCTCCCAGCTTCTGCTGCACCTGCAGACACTGGCACAGCAGAGAAGCTGAAAAGTCCTTGACTGCCCTGACAACAACTGTAAACATCAGGATGTTATCAGCCTTCTCCTCAGCACAAGTCCAAAACACAGCCTCACACTAGCTACTATGAAGAAAGTTAACTCTGTCTCAGCTGAAACCAGGACACAGTTTTAACTTGCATGAAGTTCGTGCTCACTTGAACAGAACAGCTTTGTTCCAGAAATCTGACCTTAGGTTTCATATTAGGTACACATACTCACATTAGCCCACATTTGTAAAGTGGAAGGATCAATCTTATACAGCTGATTGAAGTTACAATATACAACAGCATCCTCTGGTAAGCCATACTGAGAACGGGTAGTAACAATTATAGTTCGTGGAACTTCTTCGCCGGTTGCTGCTTTGTTGTTAATCTGAAGAAAAAAAAAATAGCTATTGGAACACTGACATTGCAGGCAACAAGACTATGCCCTCTGGAATCGTCCTGAGAGACACCACATTTGTTATCATAGTAAGTTACTGTAAGTATATATTTGGTTTTATTACACAAAACCAAAATTGTCTACTTACCCCTAACAAGAATTTAACTGGTGTGCATACACACTTGGCAATGCCACAACGTTGCAACCACTAAGGCACAAAACACTGAGCATTTTCATGCCCTAGTTGTATCTCCCTGAAACTCCAAGTAACTGGAATAATTGGAAAGAAGAATCATACAGAGAGGCATTACACATGGACTTCTCCCCTCCCTAAAGTCACCTTAATTTCCTTGAGACCAAAAAGGAAGCTTATATTTCAAGGAAGAATAAAAAAGTATTTAGAAAGCAAAGGAGTTTTTAGGTTTGGTTGTTTTTTTGTGGTTTGTTTTTTGGGGTTTTGGTT